TCATTATAATGGCTGCATCCTATGGAATTGCAGTAGGGCACTAAGCTCTTTGACAGAGAATTTATGCATATTATTATTATTATTATTATTATTATTATTATTATGTTTATTACATTTATTTATCTCCCGCCTTTTCTCTTCATGCAGAGACTCAAAGTGTCTTTCAACTAAAGCTAATACAACACAAAATATACAAATATACAAGGATTAAAACGGTATTGAACATCATTAAAAGCATATGAAATCACAGCAGCCCCTGACGATTCTAAAAACTTTATTCTTTAAAAACCTGCCAGAATAAAAAGGTTTTGACCTGCCACGTCAAGGACAGCAGGGAGGATACATACAATAGACCAGGGGTCCCCAAACTAAGGCCCGAGGGCTGGGTACAGCCCTCCAAGGTCATTTACTTGGCCCTCACTCAGGGTCAACCTAAGTCTGAAACAACTTGAAAGCACACAACAATAAAAACATTCCTATCTCATCAGCCAAAATCAGACCCACACTTCCCATTGAAATACTAATAGGTTTATATTTTTTAAATTGTTCTTAATTTTAATTATTGCATTGTTTTTAAGTATCTTTTTGCACTACAAATAAGATGTGTGTTGTGTGCATAGGAATTCATTTGTGTTTTTTTCAAATTACAATCTGGCCCTCCAACAGTTTGAGGGACTGTGACCTGGTCCTCTGTTTAAAAAGTTTGAGGACCCCTGCAATAGACCTTTTAGAATTAAGGAGGTAGGGTAAATGTTATTAACTTAAATGCCCCATCAATTACAGTGACAGGGTGTCATAAACTAATCCAATGTGCAAGTTGCCAAACCATGAATTTCTATGGCATGCGAGCCTGCCATGAGAATTTACCATTCAATGGGGCAATACTTTTTTTTTTGAGAGGATATGCCCAAGGCCTTTGGGTAAACTTTTTGGATCCTCTCCAAAGCACCAGAGATGTGGGAGTGTTGGATGACAGTTGGGGACTGGAAGACTGGAAAATGATGGGCTGTAAAAGAAGGGGTGGATAGATTCTGAGTTTTCCCTACTATGCCCAGCATATGGGTGTCAACTGCTCTTTCTGCCACTGTTGAATCAGAATGTGTAGTACTAGTAAACAAAGATCCCTTCAAAGTCTTATTTGTTACAGATGGCACTGGGAGAATCTGGGACTTTCCAGGAGGAATGAGAACTCAGTCTCCAGTCTTGAATGCCATTCCTTGGGAATAAATTGCATTAATATCTGTAAAATCTAGTTCAGGATAAATGGTTTTGGGATTGGAGTTAGCTAGAAAGATTACATGTTAAATAATTAAATCACAGATGTTCCTATTGGAGGAAAGTTTTTATACTAATCACAGTACAACAGATTAGTTCAACTGAGCTAATGCCAGAAACAAGCAATTTCTCCAGATGCTCTAGCAACATACAAAGAAAGCTTATGGTTATTGTTTCAGAGAATCTATCCAAATGTAGAAAATGGAGTAAATAAAAATAAAACTCAACTTCTTTACAACCATTTTGTCACATGTGGTGGTAAACTACCAAGCATTTTTGAGGTGGGAGCCCACATGGTTGTTTCTTTTGCAGATGAGGAGGACATAGATACATTGACTGTCTTCTTTCACAAAGATTTATTATTCCAACAGGTAGGGAGGAAGCCAAAAGACCTGAGGACATAGATCAAAGGAAAGCCAGGGGAGTCAACTCCAGCCACTTCATAGTTCCACATTGTCCCGTTACTTCATACATGTGTTGATACTCATTTGCTTCCAATAATTGCTTCTAGTGAGGTAGGGAGTTGCAGTTCAGGAAAGGAGATTTAGGACACTTCCTGACAGGCCCAAACTGCAGGACCTGTCTCACTTTTTATCTGAGGCTTCCAAATAATGCCTCAGACAAAAGCAAATTAATTGAGAGTAAACTAGAGTTTCCCAGTTTGCCCTGCATTATATGAACACTTCTTAAGCAAAGGTCTGGATCTTTAGAGGTGAGGGCCCTGTAGGGACTGACCTCCCCTCCAGTAAGTTTTTGGGGGTCTTGGGGGCTGGAGGGTAGCTAAATGGCATACCAAGTCAAGCTTAGTGTAGAAGGGCCCTTGGAATTCATGCCTGAAAACTCTAGTGCCTCACCAAAGTACAAATCTAAGGACTCCATAGGATGTAGGCATGGCAGACTCATTACTGCTATAACTAAAAACCTAAGGATTTCTTTTTTTAAAAAAAAAAGTTTGTTCTTAAATTGAAGTTGTCATTTATTTTTATTTATTTATTTTAATTATTTTACTTTTCAAAAGAAAGCAAATCTTAGGTGTGTGAAGCACAGTTTTGCCTGTGGTGGTCATTCCTAAGGACTTTATCACATGGATGTTTCCTCCCATTTTTTTCTGTTTTTGCACACAGTCAAAATGGAGCCCCATGGAGGCTATCCCATAATGCATGGCTACTTCTGGTGGCTATCCAAGGAAATCCGTCTTGCCAGCATGCTACAGTGGAGAGAAAACTCTGACTTCTCTCCATTGTGGCACACTGGGAGAGAAGCAGGAGAGAAGCACTTCCTCCATTTTAGAATGTGAGGGAAAGTGAGGGAAAGACAGAAGAAGATGGGGAAAGTTTGTGGGATGGCTGGCCATCCTTTAAGATGGACCTTGCCAGGACAGAATGGGGTAAGAGGGTTTCCCCACTCTTCCCAATGTTTTCCCCTGCTTCTCTCATTTCCATCAGATGAAGTCCTAAGCCTCAAGTTTTTATCCTAAAGTCTCTAGGCCTGGGATAGTCCTGATCTTGCAATGCTGACCTTGCTGACAATTACAAAAAAGAGCACTTAAATGGAAAATGGCTTTCCCCAGAAGATGTGTTTTACAATTTGGGTCAAATAATCCAACAGTGCAGGAGTGGGGACACACACACAAAATCCTTGTAAACAGCACTTCGACTTTCATTAGCCTGAATCAGCATGCCCAAGATCAAGAACATCTAGCAGGTCCCAGAATGCTCTGCATTCTCTCTAAATAGCTTTTTCAGCAGACAGTAGACATAAAATTAAGAAATATTCTGCCTAACATTTAAATCTACTGTCCTATAGTTTTAGATTGTGTATTTGCCTGTTCTTAGGGGATAAAGCAAATACTTCTCTGAATTCTGCCTAGTATGATGATACCTTATCAAAATTGTCAACTTGTCCTCTCCTTTAACACTCATTTCTATATAGAATGTACTTTCTGTCCTTATGCATTTCAATAATAAGTTAGTACCATTCATATGCTATGGTGCTGGAGGGAAAATTCTGAGAGTGCCTTGGACCGCAAGAAGATCAAACCAGTCCATACTCCAGGAAATACTCCCAAATTCTCACTGGAGAGAATGATATTAGAGGCAAAGATGAAGTACTTTGGACACATAATGAGAAGACAGGAAAGCTTGGAGAAGATAATGATGTTGGGGGAAGGAAAAAGGATGAGGGGCTGACCAAGGGCAAGATGGATGTATGTATCCTTGAAGAGAAGGGTGGCAATGGCTGATAGGGAGCTCTGAGATGGGCTGGTCCATGAGGTCACGAAGAGTCAGAAGTGACTGAACGAACAAACAACAAAACCATTCACATTGTATCTTTCCAACAGTAATTCTTCACTAGTTTTCTTCTTAAAGAAATCAATGCTTAATTTTAGCAGTTTTCTTCCCATTTTCTTCAATATCATAGTATGAAGCAACACTGAATGCGCAGAAAATAATATATCTACACAGAGGTGATATTTTCTGTGAAAGTTTTTTGCACAAAACCACCATGTCTCAATTTTGCACAGAATAAGTCCAGAATTTAAAAATAGTCTTCAAAAACTGCAGATTAAAAGATCCTAATCAATCTGCTGAATCAGTCCTATATACACAGTTTCCTAGTTGTATTAAAACAGACAGCATTTCTCAATTGTTCTTAAAATATATATGTATGTGACAGTCTAAGTAGTACGCTACATGTTTAACAGAAATCTAATTTTCATATAGAATTAGTGAAAGGGTGCTGTTCAAAATACACAGAGCAGTGACTAAGGAAATGAAAAACTGACAAAACAATCACTTCTTTGTTCTTAAAACATTTCTGTTTGTTTGTCTGTCTTTCTTTCTTCTCAATAATTGATATCAAAACCACATGGTATGATATGCACTATGATCTTAGTAAAGAATTATGTATTTAAAATAGCACATTCTTTGATCACTGCTTTGTAACTGGTAACTTCAGAATGGGCAAAATAAGCCCAGGTTAGGAAGTTCAGGCATGCAAAGTTCTGTCCGCCAAACACCTTTTGTCATAGCAAAATAATAACAAAATGTCAATAAGTCATATCAACAAACATTTATACAGAACCTTCACATTCAAAGAGCTTCACATATTATCACAGTAATCCATTTAACAACTGTATATAGGCAAATCTCTGGCATTTAATAGGATGCTTATATTTTCAGACTTGGAATGCCTAAATTAACAGACAATCCATCTTAACTTCTTTTGATTATGAACTTTCCAAAGTAAAAAAAAAGTGCTGCTTCCCACCTGTTGAATTTTTTTTGAAAAGTGACTCCCAAGTTAGATGATGCCATGTGCGTCTTCTTTCTGCAACTGACTAATGCCAGGGCTTGAATTACTATTGAATAAGCAGCAATGAAATATCTATGAAAATAATCAGGAGTTCCAGAAACCACAAGCAACAATAAGGCAGAGCTATCCTTAATCAGCAAAGACCGTTTGTAAAACAAGGGCTCTGAGTCAGTCTCTCTCTCTCTCTCTCTCTCTCTCTCTCTCTCTCTCTTTCTCTTCTCTGTTCATACTCTTTCACTGCTGCATCTAAGGGAGGGCAGGTGGTGAGGGAAGTACATTTCTCAGAATGTTTTGTGTCTGTTGGGTTTTTTTAAGTCAGCATCACTGGAATCATGTGATTGTCAAGAACCAATTGAAACAGGCTGTGGAAAAGGGAACAGTTAAATTTGTAATATTGGTTGTGTGAAACACTTCTTTGGGCCTCATAAACAACCACAGAACCACAAGTTGGGTACAGAGGCAGTCACACAAGAGCGGGTCCGGGATATTGGTCAGCAGGCAGGGCGAATCATTTTGACTGCAAACCACAAGAGTTTCGTAGAGTGGTAAGCATCATGAAACCACAAGTGATCCGCTATTTCTCTCCCTCTCTCTCTCTTTACAAAACAGTTTCAGTATTTGTGTGAGAGGGAAAAAAGAAGCTTATTAATGAATTTATTTTGCTCAGCAGGCACAAACATCCAACGTGCAATGGCAGCAAAGAGGCTTATTATAATGATCACTCTTAATATCTTTTTTACTTCCCAAGGTGAAAGAAAACACATATCACAACTCTTTAAAAGAGAGAATAAGATTTTAAGAAGGAAACCATGGCTTCAGAGAGCATATTTGACTCATTTCCTTCTTACCAGCAGTGCTTCATGAGAGGTAAGTGCCACTCAAACTTTTAAATAAACTTTTGAGTCATCAGTGTTTAGGAAAAAGCATGTTTGCACTTTTTCAATGAGTCCTTAGCAGCATATGTTTTTCCACAATTATTTGTAACAGAATGTGAAATGCAAATGGATTTCCAGCTTGTTTCTGGTAAGGCACTATTTTGAGTATTTGTTTCAGTTGTCCAAATTACCAGCCCATAATCCTTAGCATTCTGCTTTATAAACATATTCTGCTTTATAAACTGTCAATGGTCTTTTAAATTGCATGCAACAGCCAAGGCACAAACCACCAAAGGAGTGTCTAGTTGTGCTGGCAGGCACTATGTTTTGATACTTTATCCATTTAAATGCCAAACCACTGTGCATGGATCAGAGACTTGATAAAGGGAAAAGCAAACTTGAATATCCAGCCAGTGATCTCTGCTGCCACCTTATTTATGTATTAGTCTAGATCATAGGTTCTCAAATGTTTTCAGCCGTGGAGCCCCAAGAAATGTTTATATATTATATTATGTATTATATTATGTAGAGTATTGCAGTGGAAGACCCCAGAGGTCATCTAGTTTTGGGCTCCCCTCACTTGCACATTTTCTATCCCTATCTCTCCCAGGATTTTATCACCCATTTGGCCTGCCCATCCTGTTCAATTTGATTGTGTTAATTTGCTTTATTGTTTTGTTTTTGCTACTGTAATTATTTTTTGTTGTAAGTTTTGTTTTTTGCATTCTGTATTTTATTGTGTTGTATTGTATCTTTTGGGCTTGGCCTCGTGTTAGCTGCTCCGAGTCCCCATTGGGAAGATGGTGGCGGGGTATCAATAAAGATGATGATGATGATGATGATGATGATGATGATGATGATCTAGTTTGATTCCCGTCTGCCATGCAGGAAAGGCACTATCAAAGAACCTCCAGAACAGTGGGAGGGAAAAAGGCTTTTGTGGGCAAGGAAGGTGACGAAAAGCATCTTTTGGTAGCAAAGGAGACAAGGAAAATGACTTTTGACTGTGAGGGAGGCAGGGGTGGGAGGAGCAGGAAAGAAGAGGGAAAGTGTGTAGCCCTTCAGTATGCTTTGTGGAGCCCCAAGAGCTCTATGGAGCATACTTTGGGAACTACTAATCTAAATCATGGAAGGAACTGAGGGCTGCAGTTATTCTATGCATATATTGTTGTTGTTCTATATACTGTTAAGTAGACCCTCCAAAAATATCATCAAGAGCCCTGTCCATTCTTGTAAACTTGGGGCTGTGGCTTTCTTGGCTGGTTCAATCCATTTGTAGTAAGTTCTCCTTCTTCTCTTACTGTTTTCAACTTCTACAAAGTTATTGGGGAGTTTTTAACCAAAGACTCATGTCATCTCACAATATGTCCAAAATATGATAACCTTAGTTTCAAAAATCAAAGAGGTGATGAAAATGAGCTACATTTCTTGTCTTCTATTTTGAAAACCACACTGTTCTTGGTGATTACAAGTAACATGTTGCAGACACATTGGAAAAACTGAAGAATAATACATCAATCTTTGGAACTGTGTCTTGTTCAAATATTACCCAAAATTGTATTCTGTCTTGGCTCTCATCAAGCAGGTTGCTTTACCTTGAGAGATCCTTAATAGTAAATAAATCAACTTGCGTGAAGAAATCTGTTGGTGATTGAAAAAGATTAATCCTTGCTCAATATATTATGCCTTTTCCATGAAAACCATTTGTAGCACAGGTAGAGGCCCTTGATGATTTAATATATACTAAATGCAACATTATGAAGTGAACTTATTATTATTTTTATACCAGTGTGTAGCAGAAAGAAAGGCAGAAATCTTCCCCATCTCTTCCACTCTGCCCACCTTGGGATCTTAAAATGAGTCAGGCATTATTTGCATTAATAAGCATGCTAAGGAATGTGGAAGGGGCACTCATTGCTTTGTCACAATCAGCCACATGGATGCTTGTCTCCATTATGGGTTGGAAACAGGAGTAAATGCCAAGAGTAGAATGCCATAAAATCTCTCTTTTATGCTGCAACCATAAAGGTTTTGAGCTACATTTTATTGGCAATGGAAGATAGAGTTTAGCTGAATTGAGTCAGTAGGAGTTATGTGAGTCAGACACCTTTGAAGGGACTGCATCTTTTTAGTAACAAAGCTAAGGATGAAGTATGAAACTGCTAAATGTTCCCCCACTCATTTCCTTTGGGTAACTAACAAGCAAAGGAAGCAATATTACTAGAATAACAAGGGTCTTCCTGGATGTAGTTGGCTTGAGTTTTGTTCTCCCTTTTTTGTTGCCCATCCAAATGTTTATTTGCTCTTTGTCTACAGGACAGGAAGGCTTTATTGAGGAAATTTTATTCATTTGGAACGTAATAAAGAGTGAACTCTGTAGTGCTCAACTAGACACTGGAGTGTACATAGACAGCCTGTTCATGAACTCTAACAGGAAGAAGGCTGTAAAGAAGGGGGTGCATTTAAGCAGATTTTGAAATAGAATTGACTGAAACCTTAATTCTCCATTGTACAAAGCATAACTTTTTCTGCAAGGTAAAGTACTATGACAGAGCTTGGAAAAAATTACCTTTTCTGTCTACAGTTCTTAGAAAGACCATAAGCATACAGGATTTTGAAAAAAAATATGACTTATTGTGGAAACAAGGACTTGCGATACAGCTTCAGTGGAGACACCTTTTCGCCATGATAACTCTTTCAGGAGCGAATTTCCCTTCCTAGGGGTAGATTTCTTTCACTTCCTGTTGTCTCACCCCATTCTTAACTATGAGTTGTTTGTAAGTCAGATGTTTGTAACTTGGAGACTGCCTGTATCCTGTATAATACTTCTCTGTACTTTTGTGTATTTTATGGTGTTGCACTGTGGACACACAGTGTAACATACTGTGGCTTTTGTGAGCCGCCCCCAGTCCCTTTGGGGAGTTGGTGGTAGGATATAAATAAAGTTTTATTATTATTTATTATTTGTATTGTTATAATAAACCTGTCCAAGCTTATACTACAATATTTTGATTGATTGATTGATTGATTGCACTCATATCCTGCCTTTCTCCCATGATGGGATTTAAAGCAGCTTCTAGGCAGGTTTTTTTAAAGCTAAAAATGAAGATAATATATGATAAAATCCAAGGCAACCGTTGAAATTCTGTTCCAGGGTCTTAGAGATGATGGGATGTGCAACCACCACATGCAGTACATTCAGTAGCTCTTCATCCAAGTAAATGGTGCTTGTATATGTGAGAGGACAGCTTTTCTGCTCACTTTCATTTACCCATTCACTGTAAACTTTTTGTTTCTCTTTCATTCTGTCTGGTAAGTTCTGATCTGTTTAGGGCATGTGCTTTACCTAATAAATATCCTGTATAATTTCTGTTTATATTTACTCCTCATGGATGCAAATTATTCTGTTCTAGCTGCAAAGTCAAACTTTAGACCCAAGAGATGTGAATGGCTAAGACTGAGTAGTAAGCAAGTTGATTACTTGGTGACTTTCGAAATGAACATCATAGAATCACCTATCAGTTAGGGAATTTCTAATCATATAAATAGACATGAGAATGGTTAATGGTGGCTGTTTGTCAAGATAAACAGATAATTTGTCTTGAAACATAGATCCCGCTGTAGTTCCTTGGTCGTTCTTAAACAAGATAAGAGGTCAGAGATTTCACAACTTAGTTTATTTGAAACCCCAACTTTCTAGTGACAGCTTTCTCATTTGGCAGTTTGGAAGGAGATAGTAATCAGATACCCACATGAAAGATGTTGAGCATAGGGATATTACATTTAAGAGAATAACTATAGGCATTCTTAAAAATAGGGAGAAAAAGCACTGAACTCTTTATATGCCCTAATGCTAAAAAAGTATTAGACAAGATTTATACATTTAACAGACTGAGATGGGAATAACATCGTATTATTCTAAGATAGTGGTGAGTAGTCAGATTTTGAAATATCTGCATACATTAAGTGCTCTAAACATGTAGAGGTTTATCACTCTATGGATCAAACTGAGCTAGAATCATTTCATAGAATCATAGAGTTGGAAGAGACCTCGTGGGCCATCCAGTCCAACCCCATTTTGCCAAGAAGCAGGAAAATCGCACCCCTGTGTCTGCTTAAAAGCCTCCAAAGAAGGAGCCTCCACCACACTCCAGGGCAGAGAGTTCCACTGCTGAACAGCTCTCACAGTCAGGAAGTTCTTCCTAATGTTCAGGTGGAATCCCTTTTCCTATAGTTTGAAACAATTGTTCTGTGTCCTAGTCTCCAGGGAAGCAGAAAACAAGCTTGTTCCCTCCTCCCTATGATTTCCCCTCATGTCTCCTCTCAGCCTTCTCTTCTTCAGGCTAAACATGCCCAGTTCTTTAAGTTGCTCCTCATAGGGCTTGTTCTCCAGACCCTTGATCATTTTAGTCTCTCTCCTCTGGACACATTCCAGTTTATTAACATCTCCCTTCAATTGTGGTGCCCAGATTTGGACACAGTATTCCAATTTGTTTCCAGATAGATTTGTTTTGCCTTTTAACACAAGAAAACATATTAGGAGCTCAAAACCTTTTTATATCTTATGACTCTATAGCCATTTTCTATTGCATGTGCTTATAATCCAGGAACCTTCTCAACTTACAGTTATAGCACTACAATTCTATTTTGAATCCCATGTTTTCATTTTATGGAATCCTGGGATTTAGAGGGTTTGGGGGGCATTCAAATTTCTCTGCTAGAAATCCTCATCAAACTGCGAATCCCAGGTTTCAATAGAATGTAGCCATAGCACCACAGTAATAGTATTGTGTAAATTTTGGGGATCCCAGTTCTTACTTTTAGATCAGGGACTACTTTGATCCATTTCATCCTATTTCTTGCCTATATTTGATGGGGCAAAGTAACTTGTCAAGGATATTGTGAGTCTTCTGCATTCACTGATTAAAATATTGTATATGGTTTAACTATGAGAGACTTGATTTATCCCAAAGTTTCTTTTTCTATGTATCT